GCAAGCACGACTGATGCTGAGTCAATAGCCATATGCCATGCCATTAAAAATGGTAGTGAACAGCAGCGACACCTGACTGTCTTTACTGATAGTTAGGTGCACTCCATAGGCTCGCTGCATGTAATCCAGAAAAACGCGGGAACTAGGTAACTAAATTTCTAGACTATCAGAACAGCTGCACGAAAACTCCATTCTGTCGATCAGGTAGTGCTGTTCACAGATTATCACTTATTGATTATATTGATTTTATTATTGACATTGGCCTTGTCTTTGACATAAATAGTATTATAATAATGGAATGACAATGGCACAGCCCTTCAGGCATGCGCACCCGATCCCCTGCTCGCTGCTGTCGTGTTGGTTTAGGAAACGAAGGCTGAGCCCAATGCAAGGCATCACCCCCGCCTTGGCCCTCAGCCCTCGCCTCAACTCATTCTGCGTGGTCTTTTCTTCCCCTTTCCTTTCCCTTCTCTTTCTTCACCCCCTTCTGTCCATTTATCCTAATCCCTTTATACTTTACTATACTTTATCATAAAGCCATATGACTTTTGCCATTTATTTGTTTTAACCATTCTGGGAATCCACAAAAAATTCCTTACTTGGGGACTTTGTCCCCAAGCATCACCTTATCGTTGTATTTTAAATACGCCGCTTATGACTTTAGATGTATAATCTTTCAGTAAATTAAAACAGAATCAGCCATGTATATATCGTATTTGACTGATAACCCTCTACGCAAATAGAAGCACAGCCAGTTTGGATAGATGGTTTGGTATCTTACCATGGCATTTTGCAGGATATGTACACTATTCTGTAAATTAATTTTATCAAACCAGATTAAATTCTCTCCCTCTCTCTCTCTCTCTCTCTCTCTCTCTCTCTCTCTCTCTCTCTCTCTCTCTCTCTCTCTCTCTCTCAAACACATACACACGCACATGGTCATCGCAAGCTCAGTCGTAGCACCGATGCTCTATCTCCTGAATGGCGTGTCCCAGCGACCCGGTGCTCGGTCTTGGTCCCGCGTAGCATCATTACATCCGCGGGTTCCGTGCGAGGTGCGAATCAAATGGTTTAGCTGCGACCGCAGTATACGCGACCCTCTGATCTGAATTTATGAATGGAATCCTACGCCACCAGGCCTCGTCAGTTGTTGTCAGAGGCTTATCTCGCCGAGTAAGCCGTACGCCGGCCGGTTGCGTCTGTGGGCTTGTGGACATTGGAAGCAGGACCAGTCATGCTGTAACGGCTCGAAACGCAATCCACGTCCCAATAAAGTGTAGAATCTCTGCATTCCCCTTCGTCTTGGGTCTCGCTCAGAGGTGACAAGGGCGCGGATTAGCGGCTTGGAACGTCTTTTAACTAATTATCTCTCTCTCTCTCTCTCTCGCTCTCTCTCTCTCTCTCTCTCTCTCTCTCTCTCTCTCTCTCTCTCTCTCTCTCTCTCTCTCTCTCTCTCTCTCTCTCTCTCTCCTTCTCTCTCAGTATTAAGAGTAAGTCCCAAATACCTAAGAAAGACTACATGCAAAGTTATATCCTTTTAAACTTCGTTTCGTCGAAGGATTAATTCTTCCTCTCTTGTAAAATTAGTATGTCACTCGTTTCTTTTGTTCTCTTCTGCTGATGTACTTCATTCAGGATTACACTGACTCGTGAAAAAAAGTGTACTACATTTGTAACTACCCAGGGCCTTCCATGTATTTAAAAAAACAACTCTTGTGTGGCAAATAGCACCACGAAATGGTGTAGGCCGCCGCTGCCGCACTTGGTTTCGCAGTACGGTGCAGAGAGGAAGGAAGGACCGGGGATGCACTTGATCATACAGAAATCTTGTCACTTGATGTGTAATGCTATGCTTAGTTAGAATTTGTTTGTCTTCGTCATATAAAGCCCGGGATATGCAATTAGCTGCAAGAGTGCACCAGGTAGCAAATACTCATCAAACATTGATTATCTCAATAATTAACAGGAGGTGGTGGAAGATGCAGAGATGTGTTTTTTCTTCTCTTTCTGAAGAACTGGTGCCTAGTGCACCCAATTTGCTATTTTGGTTAAAGACAGTGTACATCTGAAAAAATCCTATTACATCGTTCTAGTCGTGTGTAGAATTATTAATTTTAATAGTATTTTGTAGTGGATTAGTTTGCTCCTTATATCGCATAGAGGTAACAAAACATTCTTGATAAACGCCTGCACACATACATGCACACACACACACACACACACACACACACACACACACACACACACACACACACACACACACACACACACACACACACACACACACACACACACACGCACGCACGCACACAAATGCATGTATAATGATAATTCACATACACATGCATGGATAACCAGAGAGATTATCTGACGAGAATGAGATACTGTGGAGACATACAACCGTACTCTCCTCATGATTAATGACAGCCACGTCATCGCTGTGACTTGAATAGAGCAGAGTGCACGTAAAGGAAGCTCATTGAGTCTGTCGTTCTTTAGATGGCCTCTGAGTGAAACTAATCAAGCTCTCGCTCACCCATGTAATGAAAGATCTTCAGTCAAATTACATAAGGAATTATGTAAACCGACATAGTGTCAAATGACCCAAAATTTATAAGCAAGACAAACAGCACTAGGTCTATATGGGGACATGTATAAGATATTCGCAAACGAATAACAAATAATTCAGCACAATATTCTGACAATATGTACAATCCCCGTCCCTCCATCGACAGTAATTGCGAGGGAAGAGTGTTGTTAGGCCTGAAAAGATCCTATCCTGGCTACTGTTACCATGGCGACTGCAGGTAAACAATCATGGCGGTAATAGAAGCCGATAAGTTTCCTTCAGAGCCACGTCTGTGCGGACAATAGTCTCTACAGTGCACTTCCTATGCTTTCTATATACATAAGAATTACATGTTCATAGTTTTTAAGGACTATATACATACATATATACAGAATATTTAATGAGTATCCTCATCCCATAGCGCGCCTTCGTACTTTAGTGAATTTCCTGTCATTTTGCTTTACACTAAACAGCTGTTGTACCTCATGAAATACGTTACTTATCTGTTATTTGCGCATGGTATTAGACGGTAGATGGCCTGTCAGATGCCTTGAGAAAGCAATCGAAGTCTGAAATGACGGCGACCTGGAATGTCGGTATTCCTTTTTGTCACAAAAGGAACATTACTTTGTTTCTGTATTCAAAAGAGAATGTTACTAATATCTTTTCACGCGCTATCCAGTGGGACTACTTCCTTTCCTGCAGTCTCGGTAGGCAGAGCAACCCAACACAAGACCGAGTTACCCTTCGGACGGCGCACAACACGGTCACTGGAGAAGGGCCCCTTTATCGCTGCTGTAAAAGTAATTCTTATTGAAACAAAGAAAACCGTATGGACAGTGTAATAGCATTCTCTTCTGCAAAGATTATTGTATTCGGAAATCAGCCATTATCCCTCAAGAATCGTTGGGATGCTGTAACAGATTCATGTCGGAGAGAGTTCAGGCAAGCTTTCGAAAGTCTGTCATAAGGCCTGTGTTAGGTTGAGCTTTGTTCCGCTTCCACATAATTACTAACAAGGGAAGTATGCAACTCAGTTGCACGTAGCCTTTATGACAGGATTGACATCGTGTTTAACACACAAGAATATAAAGAAAACGTGGGCCTGGAGTAGCCTGTAATGTAATGGCGTGCTGGGCAAAGAGTGGCGTCATCTGGGGCGACTTTTGCTTGGGATGACCTGATGCAAGGTAGTGTGAAACTGTTTTATGTACTCTGACCTGCTGTTTGTAGGCCGTACGAACCAGCCTACCCTACAAGGGCTTGCATAGACGGCGGTTTTAAAACACATGTGCATTGGTGTGCTAAGAGCTTTCTGATTCCTCCCCCTGAGGCGTAATCCCTCTTAGCAAAGGGCGTGGGCCGGCCTTCATGATGACCTTTCTGGCTTAATTTGCTCGAACAGATTTAGTGGCATTATAACAGCCGCACGCAGTTGCCCTCAAAGGCTCACAATTTACTTTGCATCATTTATTTATTTCGCGCGCCATTGCGGATGTGCCAGCGGTATATATTTGCTTCAGCTGTTTGCTGTCCCAAGCGTGAAATTTAAGCGACTGCCCGTCGTTATCTTTACCCGCTTGCACTTCCAATTATTGACATTATCGTATTTTTGGATGTTATTATCACTTGACATAGTTTATATGAAACAGCTTCAGTATGCAGTGCTGGGATAGAAATCCAAATTTGCCTCAATTTTTAAAATTATTATTGATCCAGCCACGCAGCTCGGTATTAAAATGGCGTGAGAGTTATCCTTCGCTGTAATAGAGCTCAGAACTGAAGGAAACCAAAGTAAAGACTGAAATTATTTTCCAGCATACTTTGCTCGTCGACAAAGTGCCATTTTTATTATCTCCTATTTTATTATAGGCTCCTGCTTTTCCTGGGGCCGTTTTGATCTTACATCAACATTCCTTTATGATATGGAGCCTGATATCTCTATGAATCTACAGATTGCGTTTGTATTTGTATGTAAATTATATATATGTGTGTGTCTATATATATATATATATATATATATATATATATATATATATATATATATATATATATATAAAACAACCTTCCCTGACCAGATAGATAGGTAGATAGATATAGATGTGTGTGTGTGTGTGTGTACGTGCGTGCGTGTGTGCGTGCGTTCGTGTGTGTGTGTGTGTGTGTGTGTGTGTGTGTGTGTGTGTGTGTGTGCGTGTGTGTGTGTGTGTGTTGCGCGCGCGCGTGTCCGTTTCCGTGTTTGTGTCGGAGAGTAGAAGTGTTAAGCCTCGGCCCTTCTCGAGGAGGTTCTTCGTTAAACATTTGAGCTTCTCAGCGGCTCGAGGCCCGACCCTGAGCTTGATTCGCCAGGAAACTCTTAGAAGGATTATTGCGATTATATAATGTTATGCTGATGTGCTCGTATCGTAACACATTTTTCTTCTTCTTTCAGTTGGTGGAAATATAAGTGCTTTCGTAGGAAAATCGCCGAAATTAATTGAAGTCACAGAAACCG